TTCAGGAAAAACACTTCGTACACGGACGCATGTTTACGCATAAATAGTAAGTGGATATCACAAGTTGCATTTACCAGTTCATAATAATCTTTGTTTCCTTTTCTTTAGAAATAAAAAAAATAATATTATTACAGAATCGACTTATTCCCGATAAGACAGTAGACAGTATTTTGTTGCAGGATATATTTTTTGAACAAACATAAATCAAGCACAAAAAGTTTAAGTCAAGTTAAGTCAAATTCTCTCTTTTCTTCATCAGTTTCTAACACAAACTGCTTTGAAACGCAAACTAGACAGCCATTTTTGAACTGTCTGTTCAACCAGTGTAGTGGAGAAACAGACGTTTTTGTTCCTGAAACAGAAAACTGGAAAAGAGGGAAAATTGAAGGCGGAGCACTTTTTTTCAGCTGATTCTGCGCGCAAATGTTTTTTTTTCAATTCAGTGGAAACTACTTAAATTTCAAGATTTCGCCTGCTTTGAAGTACAGTTGCTACAGTGACTACTGCAAAAACTAATAAGGTTTTTACTTTTTTCTGATTCTCAAAACAACTGGAGTGTATTACGATTTTTTAGATTAGTCGTACATCTTGTTGCAGCTGCACAAAGTCAAAACAAAACCAGAATATTTTGATGATTAATGTCAAATTTTATTAGAATTTACATTTCTCTGAGTGGGTGAGTGAATGTGATAAAATAACTGAAGCCTTATATTTTTCATTTTGCAGGTACAACCTTCGTACTGCTTTTAGAATCATAACTGAACTGAATTTAAACCAAAACAAAGTTATAAATGTAATGGAAAATGAAAGCGAAAACATCACACTATTTCCTATTTGTCTAATTTAAAAGGAAAAAAGTGAACAAGAGAGAGTGAACGAGGGAGTGATAATTTGCCCAAATTGATGGAAAAGTAAAGATGGAAACATGGACACACAAACACAAAAAAACATAAAAGTGCACACAGTTGTTGAAGTTATAAAATAAATAGAACAGAAAAAGGAATGTCTGAACTTGGCTGTTGTGTGTTGCAAATTGCTATGATAAAACTTTATTCTTTCATTTGCTTTGTTGCTGTGAATTCAAGCAATAGCCTAAAACTAAAAGTATTTACTGCTGGTCAGTTTCTTGTTTTTTATTTTCTGTTGTTTTGGCATGTACTATCATTATTATAATTCTTTTTCTGATAATAAAATGCCCACTACAAATTCCAGACATTAGTTTTTTGGAGTGGTCGGGGCTGCTGCTGCTGCTTCTGCGGCTTGAAACAGCTTTTTTCTTGTCTCATCAATCATCAAAGTTGCATTTACAAAAATTCCATTTACAAAACAAACAAAAAATGTAAAACTCAAAAAAAGTACAAGTTTTTGCAATCACAATTTTATGAAACTAAAAACTGTTTATTTACTAAAATTTAGATTTGTTTGCCCTGTTTAAAACTTTTAAAATCTTTTGGTTTACCTCCAGGGCAACTTCACGTCCAATTAAAGGGTCCAAATGGTTGGAATTTGGCCGACTAATTAGGTAAAACTCTACATTTGAGTTCTTGTTAGTGAAGTTCAAGTCTTCCCTTAAAGCTTCTACACTGGACACTGGCACAAACCAGTCATTATCGGAGTAAATTACGGTGAGAGGATTTGAGAAGGAAATTGAGGTGAGATTGTACTGTGGAGGTTGTGAACTTCCGTAAAGTTGAAGATTCCTCACTAGACCGTGGTCAAACTTGGCGAAACGGCCCGTGCTGAATAGCTGATCAAAGTGGAGCAAATTTTGAGCGGAAGTGCTCGTTGGCATGTGCGAGAGGAGGACACCAAGGCGAGACTGCGTTTTGGATATCAAAATTTTCAATTTTAGTTTCATTTTTTTGTTTTTGTTTTTTTGCACCAAGAATGCGTAAAGAATTTTAGTAGAGAAAGAAGGATTTTCAGGAATTTAGTCAATATCATAAAACAAAAAAAAATTTAAAATTAAATTTTTGAAGTTTAAAATTAAATGTTTAAAGTTGACTTGAGCCAACAAAATGAAAATACCTCATCAAATTGCTCATAATCAGGTCCGGTGATGGAGAAGAGAACGTACTCGGCAAAATCTCGCACAAGCGGCAACTCACTTGAAAAGAGCAAAAGTGCATCAGAAAAGAAGTTCTGCCCAAAAACTTCTCCCGAAGAGCTGTACAAAATAAAAAGTTGACAAAAATTACAAAACGTGACTAAAACTTTTTAAAATCTTTTACTAAAGCAGTGGTTTTAGAACTTTGAGCAGCAGTTGAAATGAGGTGGACGCCTTGCCAAGTCTGGTCACTGGTGAAATGGCGGTAAATGAAGCTAATTTCCGGTTAACAGATGAAGTTTCTGATAGCAGCGCAAACATCGTGGCCGCCCCTTGAGAGTGGCCAATGTAGTGAAGGCTTTCTAGTGAAAAGGGGGGAGGAAAGAATTGAGATAAACAAGTCAGTGTTTTTATGAGTGCAAAAAACAAAAACAGCAGCAAAATGAATGAAAAGGTTGCTTAATATTTGCATAGAGAAGCAAACTGAAAAAAATCCAGACAGTGCACTCTTTTATTTGCCAACGCTACGCCTAATTGCAATGCACCGAACAGTCGTAAACAAGATGATGTTTTTTTGGTTGAAAACAAAAATCATCAAATTTTGGTTTTGTACTTTATTATTACCTTGTTTTGTCTGGTTGAGGACGTAGTCAATCACCGCCGGAACGTCATAGCGGGCAATCTCATCAAAGCTGAACTTCCAAAACTGCGGATCACCGCTTTCACTGCTTAAACTTTGATGTCCTTTTCCGTAAACTGAGCCTCGATTATTAGACAACCAAACGTCGTAGCCGGCTCTGGACAGCTCAAAAGCCAAACTTTTGCTCGGGGTGATCGGGTCTAACGCCATCGTTTCTTCTCCAATGACAAAATCGGCGGAAGTGCCAATCAGGCCGGTTTGAAGAATGACAGCTGGTTTTCCGGCTTTTGAAGGAATTCGATGCAGTTCAACAATGTACGACTGGTAGGTGATGACGTGGTGGACTTCACAATTGAAGTTGCGAGAGGTGATCAGCTCGCAGGTGGACTTTCCTCGGTCTGGATCGAGGTTGAGGTAGAAGAGCAGAGTGAGGAGGAGAAAAATGACAGTGAAGATCAGGCTGAAAAGTAGGAGGAAGGTTTTGAAACGAGGAAAGGCGTGACGAAGTCGCCACCAAATGATTTTGATTGCCGAAACGGTCATTGAAAATAGGTAGACTAGAAATCTCAATCTTTGGGTGAAGGTGACTGTTTTGGTAGTCATTTTTGTTATGTTGAGAAAATTTTTGTACAATGATGATAAGGTACAACAGCAGAAGTTTTTGTTTTTAAGTAGTCAGTAAAAAATTTAATTTGTAAAAAGTTTAGGTATGAACGTGTGATTTTTTTAAATGTGGTAATGATTTTCGTTTTCACAGCATTTTAAAGATTAAAAATTGAAAAAAAATCAAGTTTTAGTTGCTGACCACTTTTACTATTTAATTTTTGTTATTTTTAGAACAGATCTTCACACAGTCAACTGCTTTTAAGCCGCAGAAAAAGACCAATGAATTAATTGCACATTACACCTGTGCGGCAATTTCATTTGCTTATCAAACTCTACTGATCAGGGGCATTTACGTGTCAATTTCAGTTAAGAATAAGTAATAATATACAAGTAACCTGCTTTGCCCTCTACCCTCTTTTGCCAATCAAAATGCACTGTTTTTAAACTGAATCCGCGTTTTTCCCGAGCGCTGAAAGTTGCGCCTTTTCAAACTCACAAAGTTCTTTGTTTCACCTTACTCGGTTTTTTCGGTCAGAAGCTTTCTCCTTTATTTTTTTTGTTAATTTAATCACCCCTCACTAAATTACCCTTTTTTTGCCCCCATCTTTTTTCTAACTTGAACTGCAACTTCTTTTTCTTTTTTTCTGCTGTCTGCATCCGATGATGTCACAGCAGACACTCACGCTCATTTGCTGTTGCTGCTGTTGCTAAAGTGCAACATTTAATAGAAAAGGCAGAGAGAAGGAAAAACGGGGCACGTTAATTGCCGCAGCTGATACTTTTTCCAGTTAATAATGGTAATAATGTTATTAAACGGAGGAAAAGAGAAAAAAGGGAGAGAAAGGTAAATGAAACTTGTGCAGACGATACCAATTTATATATATATATTGCAGCAATATTTTCATACTTGGGTTTTTGTGGCTTTTTATTTCTTGTAGCTTTTTCCCTCCGTTTTTTTCTTTCCTTTTACCTAATGGACAAATGCTGTTCCAAATGACGACGACGACGACGACGACGACAACGACGAGCAATTGACCATAAATATGTTTAGAAAGTTCAGTAGTAATGTCTAGGTTTTATTTTTTAGTGTCTATTTAAAGTTCAACTTCTGCTTTCTTTTTTACAAGATTGTAAATTGCAGCCTGGTCACTTATCAGGAAACATTGTTAACACAGAAGGACTAAAGTCCAGTTCAGTTCAAAGTAGTTTGGTCAATTTGATTTTTGCTTTCTTTTTCTGTTGAGCGGTAATTTATCTGACTAGCAAGAAGATAGTTGCCCGCTGATAGCCAACTGCAGTCAGTCTGATTAATCGAGACTGAAAAAAGAAGGAAAAAAAGATAATGGAAAAAATTTGATCTAGTTTTGCTAAACGAAAAAATTTAAAACAATAGCAATAAAAAAATTGTTTTATCCTGTTTTAATGGTTCCTAAAATAAAAATATTTGTCGTCGGCTTAGTAGAGTAAGATAAACTAAATTAAGCAGCGATTTAAAAACGATTATAAAAAATGTTAGTAAAACTTAAATTAATTTTTTTATTTTGTAATGACACAGTTAAAAATTGTTTTTTATTTATTTAAGCTTTGCTTTTTTTAAATTTTAAAGTTTTAGTAAGAATTCAAAATCTTCTCATAATAAAACGTAGTTGCTGTTTAAGGGAAACTTAAAAATGTCTTCTTTATTACAATATTTTCCTTATTTTAAATTCATCTCTTTATCATATGACAATAGCAATAGTAAGAGGAGTTACAAAAAACTACAGTGCATTTTGAGTTTATTTTAAAAATGTAACATTTTAGTAATAAAATATTTAAATTTTTGTCAAGTGTTTTCTAGAGAAAAATTGCCAATTACAACAACACTTGACTTGAAAAGAAAAGCTTCACTCGTCTGATCATTTTCATTGATAAAAAAATTCCAGACTAAAAATATAACAAGGCTTCAAAACATGACAAAAACATTCCTCACTTTAATTTGCACTTAGAGCAATTTCAATTGATTTGTTGCCACTTTTAAGTTCAAAGAACCAAAAAAAAGTAAAAACTTCAAAAACAATTAAATTAAAATTGGTTTCAAATTCTGAGTTATTTTAAAATAAAAGTTCAGTTTTTAAAAATCATGTTTAAAAAGCATTTTTAGGAAAAAATCACACTTTTATTTGCTACAAAAATTGAGTAAATCGATTTTATTTAAACGAATTTTTGTCTAGTGTCAAGTAAATCGCTTTGCACTATTTGAAAATTCAGGTACAAACATTGATTATTTACGTCAACAAATTTGAGTGACAAAGGATACTCTTCAAAGGATGTTCTCACTAATGCCAAATAGAGTCTAGAAATTCATTTGCAAAGCAAATGAGCTTGAAAATGGTAAAGCCTATACACTTTCTCCTCCAGTTCATTCCCTGATGAGCTTCCATTAACTTTCTCAAACAGTAAATAAGCACTAAACACAACGACAACAACAACTGCTGCTGCTGCCACATTTGCATACCTAATGGACTAATTTTCCCGGCTAATTTTTCTTTCCTTGTCATTTTTTGGGGGGAGTTAAACTGATGTACAAGTGAGCGGTACTTGATTGCCTGTTCTCAGCATTGCAAGACAGTATAATTAAGTGCACAGTGAAAGATGTTTTTTAAAAACTAAAAAAACTTTTTACAGTGATAAAACTTTGGCGATCTCTAGCGGTTGAGCTTCATACCAAAACTAAAACAACTAAAAATGTGTTTGTAATTTTCTAATTTATCTAATCATTCTCCTGAAGATACTTCAGCACCTGCCAGTTGGTCTCCACGGCCGCCGTCAGGCCCACCAACGGGTCAATGTGATTAGCACTCGGGTCACTTAGCTGATAGAAAACCGTACTATTTGGAAGGTCGCCCCTGAGCGCCTGCACGCCGTCCAGCGGCACAAAATAGTCGTTTGAGGCGTAAACCACAAAGATCGGACTGAAGGTGATCTGATCCAAAGGATAGTTGGCGTCGCCATCGAACCGTTTGAAGNAGTAGCGAAAAGTTCCTTAAAGTGGCGAAGATTGCGTCGAGCGGTACTTGAGGGCATGTGAGTAGTGTAAACAGGGAGGCGGTTCTGGGGAAAGAAAGTAAAAAATGATGTTTTGGTGAGTAAAAAGTTAAACAAAAAGCTTTTGTTTACCATGTCAAGCTGACCACAGCTTGGTCCCACTACTGAGAAGAAAACCAACTTGCAGATCTCCTCACTGCCGATGGTGTTACAGGCAAGTGAAAGTGCCTCCTCCTGAAGTGGAAGTGGCGTGAAGATGCCTCCGTCAAAGAGTCTTAACAAAAGAAGGTACTAAGAATAAAAAACCAAAAATCAGGTTTTGCACTTACAAAACCGGCGTCAGCAGCTTGAGCAGATAGCGGAAGGAGGTTTTTGCGTTGCCAATTCGGGTGATCGGCGAAATGGCCACAAAACTGGCCAACTTTTCACTCACTGCCGATTGGTTGGTGCTCAGCAGGACAAACATCACCGCCGTTCCCTGCGAATGGCCCACAAAATGGACCTTAGAGGCGGAAGTCGCCTTGAGGACGTAATCAACAATAGTGGGTGTATCCTCCTGGCCGATATCGCCAAAAGTCCACCTCCAAAAAGCTCGATCTTTTGGGTTCAATGTGGTGTGATTGAGGGCGTACTCGTTGCCGCGGTTGTTGCTGAGGAAGACGTCGTAGCCTCGTTTCACCAGTTCAAAGCCTAAATTTTGGCCCATCACCGCGGTGTCCAGCGTTACATTGGAGCTGGCCATGACAAAGTCAGCCGAGGTTCCGATGAGACCGGTTTGCAGAATCACTGGAAATCTGCTTCGTTTTGTTGAATTTTGAACACCTTCAAGAGGAGGTAAAATTCGATGAAGTTGCACAATGAATCCGCTGCCGGTCACTACGTAGTGGACCTGGCAGCGGAAGCCCCGGGCGGTGATTATTTCACACTGAAAATAAAAGAAAACATTGATAAGGTTTTTGTTGGTAGAGCAAACTGATGTTGTTTTGTTTTGTTTACCGTAGTCCTCTTTTCATCGGCGTCAGCTCGAGGCTCGTGAAGGCTCTGATTTTGACGCAAATCGTGAAGGTTGACGCCGCAGTAGCTGTGAAACTCGGGATGTTGTTTTAAGAAAGGAGATAGAAGTGAGGAGGTGAAAGAAGAAGAAGAAGAAGATGATGATGATGATGATGAAATGGGTAAAGAGGATCTTGCCAACAGGTCCTTGCTTCGGCTGAAAAGAGGTGAACTGCTGCTGGAATTTTGTGGATGAAGATGATTATTTAGGCCGATGACTGTTGCCAGTGAGGCCGTTAGAAAGGCTCGCGTCATGTTTAGAAAGCCGAACATGTTTGAGGTTGATTATTATGAAAATGCTGATTATTTTGTGCGTTAGAGGGATTTGTTTTTATAACATAAGCATTGGCGCATGATTTGGGTTTGTTTTGGTAACGATTTGATTTTCATCATTTGGCGACTGATGCTGCTAAGGATTAGAGGACAGGCATGTGGTCAAAAGCAAAGCAAAACAAAACAAAATTGATCAGCTGTTTGTTTTGTTTTTCAGTTTTTTCGCTTTTATTTCAAGTGCAGCAGTGAGTTTA